ACATAGAATTTTTCTCGCAAGATAACAACATCGCGATCTACGCTTCAAGATATTGGTAACCTACAAAATATCGCAGAATTGTTTGTTTTAAACGTAAGATCTGACATCCCAGCTATCGGAGTTGAAGAAATTTATAATGCAGACGAGAGCGGCTTCAACCTTGAAATACATTCTGGGCGAACATTGGCGAAATCAGGAGTAAAAACAGTTGAAGCGATGGTTCAATCGGTATCTTCTACAACACATAGCTACACTATAATGCCTATTATTTCGGCAAGCGGACGTCTTCTTTCACCACTATATATAGTTTTAAAGGAGTCTACAGGAACATTTGGTCCGAGGGTGCAAGAAACTCTATTCCGTCCAGTTAACATTTACATCCAAGCTTCAAAATCAGGAAAACTCACGTCTGAACATTTCAAAACTTGGTTCAGCGAAGTGTATGTACCAAATACTGGCCGTAAAAGCATGCTACTACTCGACTCGTGGACGGGACACTGCCCGAGCCAGCTAGAGCAGTTGATTCCACAAGACAAAGAAGTAAAATTTTCAACCATTCCAAAAAAGACAACGGCCTTCATTCAGCCTTTAGATGTGTTTGGATTCCGGATTTGGAAAAATTTCGTGCGAACATTTTCGGATAATGTAATTCTCCAAGAGAAACATGTCAATTTGCACTCACGTAATGAAATAATTAAATTGCAATCACTAACTCATAATCAGCTTTCTTCGCCCAGATTCAAAAATCTTTTCCAATATGCTTGGTTTAAAAGCGGATATCTAGAAACGCATCCCGGTGAATTTCAAAATCCTGTAGATTTCTGTTACTTCAGGAAAGAAAAGCATATACCTAAATGTAGTATTTGTGGGCTGGCCGCTTTTATGCGCTGTGCATGGTGTGGCGAGTATTTCTGTTTTAAACATTTCTATGAAGAATATCATTACTGTACCAATTATATTGCGTAATGTTTAGTGTATCTGCCGTTTTGTACTAGTACAACTCTTCCAAAATATAATTAAACAACAAAGCCTGTACAAAAAGCGAATGCAAATGTTTTATGTATCAGGATTAATCAGAATTAATTAAATTAATTCATTTATTCATTCAAAATAGATACGAACCGTCTTGCTTTAATAAATGAAAGATGCTTGAAATTCATATAAATTATGATTTAAATATTGTAACATTATTATATCGTTACAGATTATCTTACAATTATGTACTAATGATCAGGAATAAAATACGTTCGCATTATCGGAACATTCGATAAGGTTATCGTCAATACGTGACTCTGCGTCCTTTAATGTTAAGATAGAGCTTCATGCAATATCTTATTTATCGTGTGGTTTACAAAATATTGTAATAAAATAACACTTCAAGTAATGTATGTATGTTGCTGTTGTTATGATTCATATACGTCATTGATTAGTTTTAATTAGTTTTATCTTTCAAGTAGTTGTAAGTACATACTGTCTTGCTTAAATAATTGAAAGCTGTCTGAAATTGATATAAATAATAATTTAAATATCGCTTTATGAAACTATTTTAATAATTCAAACTGTTAAAACGGATTTCAAATTCGATAATAGAGATTTTTCATTTATTTTTTTTTATTAAAAAAACATAGAACACATATATATTGATTATGATGTATGAAAAGAGGTTGTGGAGAAGTATTTTTGCATAAAATTACACAGTACAAAAACTTAATTTTAAGGGTTGGTAGTAGGGGTAACTCGAAAAAAATGGATTTTTCGATAATTGTCTGTACGTAGTTTTGTAGACATAAAAATGAGATGCAACTTTTGTTTAAACTTTTTTTTATATCTCTCACCGTTCTGGACTTATTACGCGAAAAAAACAAATCTGCATTTTTTTCAAGGGGTGATATCACCCTTTCAAACCAAAATATGGCACGAAAAAAAAATAATTTTGTGTTACGGATGAACTGCTCTACTTGCACAAATTTTTTCAGAATTTTCAGAATTTTCGGGTTGCCTAACCTCCCTTGTAAGTGGGTTTTTACAAAGCTTTTTTTAAAATTACAGTTCAAATGAAATCGTTGATATTATTCTTGTGCTCGGTGAAGCTGGACGAAATTATTGTCCAGAGCAGAAAGATCAGTGATCGATCTTGCCTTAACTTTCAAACTCTATAACTCGGAAAGTACTTAATGAAACGTAATTTTATTATAGTGTTTTGGAAAGCTTTCGCGACAAGCTACAAGAATGTGTAATAAATAATAGGAGTTTCCATTTAAAAAAACATTAATGACCTCGACCTGATTTTGACAATGTCACTCAAGGTCAAGTCTACATTTTCATCATATGTCACCCTTCAAGCCATTTGAAACTTTCGTTGGAAAAATTTTTCAATAAAATAATCGATTCGCGAGATAATCGACTATATCCCTTAAAATGAAACACCCTTTACATTTTTTATATATTTTTACATATTTTATATATTTTTATATATTTTTATTTATTTTTACATTCGTATGATATATGTGCTTAATATATTGAAAATATTTCAGGTTGAAAAAATCATGACCATAATGACCAATCCTAGACAATATAAAATACCTGATTGGTTCTTAAACAGGCAAAAAGATATCGTCGATGGAAAATATTCGCAGGTATATATATAAGCTAGTTATGATCTATGAACAAAGAAAATTCTTAAGAATCACATATACTTTATCATTGAAAAATATAACATAATATATATTATGTATATATATAGTAAAACACATTTTTAATACTTGTAACAAGAATTATGACTATATTGGAATTCAAATTTATGAAAATATTCTGCAACAATTTATACTATATATATAGGATGTATAATACAAATCATATAAAACCATGTGTAAAGATAAAGCGTGTCAACCTCAGTACAAGAATTCTCTTTTTTAAACTATGCAAAATTTCAAGGTATTAATGAAAAAATAGCGGAAAACTAGAATGTGCATATTGTAGAATGGGCTCTATAAGCACAAGATCTTATACTGGGATAAAAAGTCATCGAACAGTGAACACTTCTTGAAATATTTTACATTTTATCCTGATACTTTTTAGTACAAAATATGTGTGAAATATCTCCTGAACTATTTACTTTTTGATAACCTCACATTAATAATTTTGTGTAAAATGATGGATAAAAACGATTGTTGCAAAAACACATACAGAAATTTAAAACAGAATTATGTACATTTTACAGATTTATTAATACACCAGTGTGCAAAGATTATCACCGATTGATTTCTCTCATCATTCTATGTACAAAAGTATCGATGTGAGTTAAAAAATAGATAGTTTATGAGATATTTAATATCTTGTATTAGAATGTGTCAGGATAAAATGTAAAATATATTGGAAAACATTTTCTTTTGATGATTTTATCTTATATTGTAATACACAGAATACTCTTATAGAAATATCATACTAAGAAATACTGAAAAATTATTAGTGATTAAATATTACTAGTAATTCAGTAATTTTTTGGCCAGTACTTAATTTCTGGTGAATACTGATAATAAAATCACTGTTAAATATTGATAGTAATCAAATACTGAGAATTATTATGCAAAGGTAAAAAATGAGAAAATCATAATACAAAAATATACAAAAATATACTACTCATATACAAAAATATAGAAAAATTTACAAAAATATATTTATATTCCTAATGTCTCCCTATTTTCCCATGTCTCATAAACTATAAGATATCGAAGGTTGTCAACACATTCCAAACTTTCATGAATCCTCCTACGATAATTTCGACCCCAAGAGGTATACTCGTACCGCTGGTCACCCCATTCATGTCCTGACAGCATTAAACTGTTGCTTAACCTGACGATCGAGTGCGCATGCGGTGACTCTGATAACTCCAACGATGTTCTTACAATTCATGCTTATATAATGTATCCTGTATAATGTATCCTATAATGTATTCTCTTATAGAAATATCATACTAAGAATCATTGATAATTACTTATTATCCAGTATTTTTAATACTGAAAATAAGTAATTATCAATGATTCTTAGTATAATATTTCTATAAGGGTAAACGGAGGAATCAATTCACATTTAAAAAATTAAAATTGACAGGAGGGTGGGGAGGATTTTTTGGAATTGTTGTAAAGTCAAATAAATATTACCATTCATTTTCCCCCTTCAAAATCTTACAATTTTTGTCTAAAAAGTTTTCTTCTAAAACTTATAGATTTTGAGATATTATAGTGTGAAAATAAATGAATATTAGACACCTTGTATATATGTATATTTTTTTTACAATAAATTGGTTTCGTTTTATTATGTCTTACGAACTAAATCGTACAATTCACGACTGATCGTGCAAATCTCTATTGTACGTTCAGCTGATGCAATAGCAACTGCACCGCTGTACAATTGAAATTGTTTTTTGTAATGTTTTTTATTGCTCTAAGCGAAACGTTCGCGTGCTACAAAAATTATTTACAAAGAATAAAAATTACGAAACATCGTAGGATACCCTTATAAAAATATCATACTAAGAATCATTGATAATTACTTATTATCCAGTATTTTTAATACTGAAAATAAGTAATTATCAATGATTCTTAGTATGATATTTCTATAAGGGTATATGTCTAACACGCGTGTGACTTATGTGTGGCAGCTCACGAGTGCCATTTTGGAATCGAAACTACGTGAAGATTTGGAGAGGATGAAGAAGATTCGTGCTCACAGGGGCCTACGTCATTACTGGGGTCTCCGAGTACGCGGTCAACACACGAAGACCACTGGTCGTCGCGGACGCACGATCGGTGTGTCGAAGAAAAAGTAATTTAACAAATAGATAATTAATTTTATATATTAAATATCTATATAATGGTTTCTCTAAATACATTATACTGATTAATCAATAAAATCTAAAAAACTTTAAGTTCCGTTGTATTTCTTCGAATATTTTAAGTTTCAAATTTTTTAAGTTTATATTAAAAGAGAAAAAGCTGTCATAGTCGCTAGATCTACAGTATGACAACATTAAAAAAGAAGAAAATCGAGAATACTCGATACATTGCGATATGTTAAGTGTGCATAAGAGAGTAATTTATAATTTATTTCAGTTGAAATATATGGTGATCTTTTGGTCTTGAAATGATTTAGTAAGCACTTCTCAAGGCTAAGTATAAGATCACCTTTGTTTCAACTAACTTGAGAGTGTGACAAAAGCAATGGTGCTAAGTTCGCAATGTGCTAAAAATGCAATTGACAATAGATTATAATAAATTTTCTTCTAAACGTTTCAACGACGTATAATAAGCGTCTTTAAAAATACTTTGGGCATCTTTCCTCGTTGATTGCCTTTGATTCCCATAAAGTAATTTTCGTCATCGGAAATATCATAAATACCGATTACTTAAAAAAGATATCGCATAAGGTACATTCAGTTGACGGTACGTATTGCAGTACATACGTTGCACATTCTATAATCACAGTACATTGTATTAATTATATGTACAAGCAGGGTTGGGTAAGTTAATATATTATTTAGCTAAGTTAAAATTAAAGATAATGCCTTATAAAGTTAATTTGATTAAGTTAAAAGTTACGTAAGCAAAAACTGACTTAATTAAAAGTTGAGTTAAAATCGAATTAAGGTATTAAAAGTTAATTATGCAAAATCTCAATGAAAAATTTTTCATATATAATTATATAAAATTATATAAAATTATATATAATTATAAATAATTATATATTATTATGTATCAAATTTGTCCATTCATGTTCATACATTCTACTTATATATATAATTATATATAATTACATATAATTATGTATAATTTTATATATAAATTCATATATAATTTTACATAATTACACATAAATTTATATGTAATTATACATATTGTTATACATAATTGTGTATAATTATATATAATTTTATATAATTATATATAATTATACATAATTATGTATGGACAAATTTCATACAAAATTTTGCATGAAAAATTTTTCATCGGGGTAACATATATGTTTCTTATATAAACAACTTTTTAAGACTCCTGGCCCCTCATATTGTCTATCTCTTTTTTTTTTTTAATAACGTCAGAAGCGAAAAAATGCATGCTAAAAATTCTTGCAAAATACGTTAAAATAAAAATATATATCCATAAAGTAACAATCGATTAAAAAAATTTGAAAGATATTCTGTGTACTCTCCTTTTGCTCTAATAATCAATAATTTGTCATAAATTAACGTGACATACAATTCATCTTCTTAACCTATTTCTTCGCCTATTTCTATTTAGGTTCATTTACAATAAATTATTGATTGTTAGAGCAAAAGAGGAGTGCACGGAATATCTTACAAATTTGTTTAATCGATTGCAAGTGTTA